AGGGGGGGTGTGTGTCCCCAGTGCCGGGGGTATTTCCAGCGGGGGGGGTTGTTAACTCCTTCCTGGCTGGGCCAGGAGGGTGCACCATCCCTAGTCCTAGCTCTGGCACTGGGGTCCCCAGTTCGGGCCTGGCCCGGGGGGGTGTTGGCTGTGGTTTGCAGCCTCCCCCCATCGCCTCTGTCTTCCTTCCCATGGCTTCTCCCACCCATCCCCAGGCCTGGCATCTGATGGAGGCCATGGGGGCAGAGGTTACCCGTGGTGCTGAGGGTCATTGGTGCCTGCCCCCTGCTCAGCCCCTGCAGCCAGGGGCAGCTTCATGCCTCAGTTTCCCCAGGGAAACCCATGCTGTCCCCTCAGCCTCACGTTTGCTTTGCCTCAGTTTCCCTATTCCCCTTGCCCCCTGGGGATTCCTGCCCTCCGCCCCATAGGGAAACTGAGGCCCACCAGCTCTGACTGCCGGGCCGCGCTGCCTCTTGCCAGGGCGACGCCATGGCCGCCATGTCACTGTGGAGCCGGGTCTCATGCCTGCCCCCCGAGCAGCTTGCCAGCGCCTATGGGGAGTTCCCGCGCGGGCTGCGCAACCTCCTGGCTGACTGGGTAGAGAGCCAGCCCTGGTGAGGGGGGCTGGGGCAATGGCAGGGGGTCCCAGAGGTGATGGAGGCAGGGGCATGAGCGCCTTGGGGGTGTGACGGGGGGTTGGGGGACCCAGGGGGTCTGGGGACCCCTTGGGTGTAAAGGGGGCTTTAGGGGGTCTGGATGGCCTTGTGGAGTGTGCAGAGGGGTCTGGGGGGGTCCTGGGGGCATGAAGAGGGGTCTGGGAGGGCTCTTGGAGGGGGGGGGGTCCTGCAGCCATACAAGGGGGTGGGGGGACCTTAGGGAACATGCAGAGGGGTCTGGGGGTTCCTGGGCCATGAAGGAGGGTCTAGGGGGGTATGTGAGGGGGGTTTTAGGAGGCCTTGAGGGGTGATGTGAGGGGAGCTGCAGCGTCTCTGGGGTCCCATGCCCCCCGCAACCCCCTCTGTTTGTGCAGGGAGCCT